AGCGCAGCAAACTACCAACCGGACACTAACGCGAACGTAAACAAGCGTCGCCCGCGAAACGTCCTCATCGACCCGGTCGACGAAGAGGACTTAGACACGATGGACCCACCGCCGGGGGTCCCGCCGGATAATACTACACCCACAGTTAGTGTAACAACAATCACACCAGTTCGCCCTCGCCTCCGAGCACGGCGAGACCCACACAACGCGTACACACGGTACACCCGCGTTCCGGGGCGGTTTTCACCGCTCCCAGCCACCGATTAGCTAAATGCACAGTCGACGGCCGTCGGGGTCTCGGTCCGAACCGCGACCTCGACGGCCCTTAGATGACACACCATAATTAAACGCACGCATGAGCACATGCGCGATCCTACCCATAGCGGAGGGTCCAAACCCGTTGGTTCTGGCTAACCCACCGGTTCTGCGTCCGATGAAGCTTTAATAGTCTCGGGACTGAAAGCAAAAACATCAGTTAATACAAGATACAAGGCTCCGCACCAAGGGGGGTTACTCGACTTCCACTGCTTCACCATAAAAATTCACTGCATATAGCGCCTTAACTTCTACGATGATCAGTGTTTCAGAAACCGGGCGTTACTATCGAGTGTGGGATTTTATTATGTATAAGTACTTTGCCCCATGAACGAGCTATTTACTTTCTGTAGACGAACCAATAGTGTAATTAAAGGCCCATTTTCACGATGCATTTTCTTGTACATACAAGAGCAATAATTGAATGCAATAAGTTGCATGCAATAATTGACCATCAAGAATTGTAAGCAACAGTTTACACGCAGATATAGTAAAAAAAATTGAATGCGATTATTGAATGCAAGTCTTGACAAGAAATAATTGCAAATGTCTTTTGTTTATACCAATGCAATTATGTTTAGGCGATTATTGCTTTCAAGTTTTGACTTGTCTAAACACATGCTTGTATGTGCGTGTACAATTTATTGGCGTGTTGCTTCAAGTATTGCACGTATTTGCGTTGACAAATTTTTCATGCAAGTGTTGAACGTTTTACAAAGGGCTATTTAAAAAAAAATGGCTCAATAATAAGTATTCAAGTTAGATTATGCCGATTAAATATATTTCATTGAGATTTATTTATTATGATCCATATATTATTATTCATATTTTTATCCAACTTTTTTAACGACCTTTTCTCAATATTTCTATCCTCAAAAGAACAGCAACGATTAAATACCCTCACTCATTGCACAAATTTTTGCAAAGGAAGAGAGAATGCAATTGAATACAAGAATTGCATAAGAAATTATTGTGTGTGCTGTTTACACCAAGGAAAGTTTTGAAACAAAACTTGAAGCAAGTCTTGTTCAACAGTCAAGAATGTTATTTGCTGTTTAGACAATGCAACTCATTAATTGCTTCAATTTAATTGTATATAACAGGCAAGAAACTTGCACCGTTAAATGGGCCTTAATTTGTCCCTATTTCTAGTATTTAGTTTGTCTGTCAAAATATAATAATAAATATATTGAGACGCATCAGTGAGTATCTGTATCTTTAAAAAGAACTCTATTTCGGGCTCCGATGCTATAGATTGATCGATCAGCTCTTTTTTGAAGAATAAATATATAATTTAATAATCAATAAATGAATAATCAGATGCATTGCCCAACAACAAGAAAATTCCGTACAAGATGCTGTGAAATAACTGAAGTAAACAAATTTGCCAGTGTCATGTCTGTTAGCTGCCTGCTAGGAAAAATTTGTTCGTTCCTAGTACCTACCTACCTTTGTCCAATTATACAATTGGGCATTTGCCGTAGCTAGACTATTTAGAAAAAGTAATTATATTATGGGACAATGTCTAAGTAAGTTTTATCCAAATCCAAGGAAAGGTTCACAATATTTATAAACAGTGGTAGGGCCACACAACTGCCTCGCACGAAAGCTGTTGCCAAAGAGCTGATGCCATTTTATATATCTCAAAACTGTTCGGCTGTTGCACGAATGGGCAATCTCGTCCGGGTAAGTACCACGACCTCACAGAAGACCGGCGTAAAGTGGAAGTATAATACTTTCGCGTTTCGTCTGGTAAGTGAGGTGGTCGGAGCCCAATTTTCAAAATGTTGCCGAAGCATCGGCAACCCTCCGGTGTAGCACATGTCCATGGGCGGCGGTATTCACTTACATCAGGTGAACAGTCTGCTCGTTTGGCAACATTTCACATAAAAAAAATATATAAACGGCTAGATTAAAAAAAATGTAAAAGAACGTGTTAAAAGATATTTTAATAATAGAAATTTTTTTAAATTATAACACTGTAAATGAATTGATCGCTCCAGGGCCTAAAGACCCATTTACACGGTGCAAGTTGCTTGCCTGTTGTATACAATTAAATTGAAGCAATAAATGAGTTGCATGGTCTAAACAACAAATGGTCTAACAAATTATTGCGCGCAATTTATTGCATTCAATTATTGCTCTTGTATGTACAAGAAAATGGCATCGTGTAAATGGGCCTTAACAAGTAGCCTTTAATAAATTTTAAACATGATTCTTGTAAAAAATAATGGTAAAAAAGTCGGGGAAAACTTTTCATTTTTTAAGTAATAATTCAATCTAAATTCTTATGCAAATTATAAGCATCACAACATTGATAAATTCACGTATACTATATTTAACACGTTGAACGCCATCAAGACTCTTATAATAAATGTTTATATAATTACTGACCTGATTTTTATTTCATTACTGACCAATATATAATTTGTTACTGTGTATATACAGGGAGATTTTTAGAGAAGTGCCCGGAGGTTCAGACTCGGTAGTATAATCGTTTATTGAAATAAAAAACAGTATTTTTTTCCAAAAAAAATGCCATTCTCTTCCCTAAAAAACAGAACGTGTTGACAAGGCGGTAGTCATTCATAAATACCTAAATTTTACTGTGCACGAACTTGTGTGCGTGTTAGTTATGAATGATCGCGCGTAAAATAAATGAGTTGCGTATAAATCACGCACTTTTTGAGATAAGTTCAAATGAATGTAATCAATTACTTACGAGTGGTTGTAAATATTTATCATTTTTATATAACATTATTTATGTCCAGAATTTAATTTAAAAAAAAGATACACTTAGAAAAGCCACCTTTTACAACGTAACATTGCTCGATTTTTAAGTAAAAAACTTTTTGTCCGTAACAGATTAGTACAATAGCAATGATTTCACGACAGTTGTATTTAGTAAGATGTTTATTACGAAGTTTTTTCTATCACTTAATAGATTTTCTTAGGGTATGTTAGATGGGAAAGATCTATTGTTCCTTTATCGTAGTTAATCACCACTTTTGAAATAAATTTGCCGCATTATCCGAAATTTTTAGACTGCACTTAAAGGAGAGAAATATTATAATTTTAAAACAAACAGTTTAAAATTGTAATATCTCTCTCCTGCCCGCCATTTCATCATTGCCGTCACCCCATCCTTGGGACGGTGCTTTCGGTTTTTACCGTATAGTACCCACTTTTCGAAGTTTTCTGGCCAGACCTATACTTGATACGTGACCTTTGTTCAAAAGGTCACTGCACTGAGACGTAAAGACCCTATGGGGTGGTATTTTATATGATCTATTAGAACGTTATCTTGATCTTGTAACAATAATTCGGAACAAATGAAAGCAATCGAAAGAAACGATTACGGCTCATTATAGTCTTGATTTGGTACTAGTAGAAAATAAAAATCGACGAGAGATTTCTCAACCATATTTCTTATATTAGGTATTATAAATATTTCTTTGATTGCCTTGAGGCGAAAAACACTGCGACGAAAAGCCTGTCGATTTTTTTCGAAAAACAAATTACTTTATTTCCAAAAAAAAATTTTTACATTTATGCCTTATGAACTGACCCCCACACTAGGCTGTTGCCTGTCCTATGGGGGATAAATATTACGATCTACAGTTTGATTTGCGGGCTGTTAATAAATATTTAAATGGTATAATAGGGAAGCGGTGTGTGCTTGTGGAACACCTCGAAAACCTTTCGATGGATAGTTTTTCGAAATGAAATATGTACATCTTCATCCTCACTAGTATTTATTTTACGAAACCGCTCGTATCTCGGCGCTCAAATACATTCTTAAATGAACTATTGTTTAATAAAGACAAAAAAAGCGCGTAAAATAGTGGCGTGGTCGACAACGTGACCGCGTGGCCCAGCAGTAAACTAAAAGGGATTTGCTTCGGCATGGGCCATGGGGGTCGCCCGTGAGTGATATTCAATATTAGTCTGATTTTCATACCAATCGGTCATATCTTTAATTTAATGCAGTTTATTATTATAATTCTATCAATTAAAGACATAAAACAATGTTCTAATTTTTGACCAATATATAAATTTTCGTGTGGCCCAAGCATAAAGTAACTGCCGGCACGTCCGGTGTCCTCCACGGTGTCCCCCATGGCGTTTAACGTGTTAAATATATGTGTTAAATAAAATTGAAATACAGCTAATATGGTATAGGTGTAAAAAAACTTCATCAAGCGTAACATAATACAAAAATGAATAACATGAAAAAATGTTTATGAGGGAATTAGGTTGTTAGTCGTGGCGTAGTATAATGTGGCAACATTGAAGTAAAGAGTCGCAGTGAAAACCAATTTTATCTGAAAACTTATTTACAAGTACACAAGCGCAGGATGATAGCTCTCAAAAAAGTTCACTTAATAGGAGGTGATAGGGGTTGGATTATAGTGCATGGACAAGAATGAGGAACTTTAAAGTTAAATTTGAAGAGAAGATCAGGGCAATCAACAATCAATTAAGTATATCCTATTAGACAGACTCGTTATTTTGGTTTAGGTGAATGTTGCGCGGCCGCAGTGCCAGCGTGCGATGTGGATGGCTGCAGCAATTGTACAATAGTCGCAGCAGGGATGGGGATGATTCTATTCCTCGCTCTGCTCCGTTTTGAGCAAAGGTGGTGTATAATTTAGGCCCATGTCGATTCGCCACGTAATTCCTCAGACTCCTTCCCAGGAATATATGAGCGCCTGTCCGGTGAGACGCTCGGAGTAGATCTCGGCGAAGAAGAATTTTCCGAGTATGACGAAGGTGTACGCTGCGGTTGGGAGTAGGAACTCGTCCCGGTGTCGCTAAAGTGGTGTAAAGTCAAAAAAAGTAAAGTAACAGCCTATACATGTCCCACTGCTGGGCAAAGGCCTCCTCTATACAGAGGGTATCAGGGCATAGTCCACCACGCGGCCCCACTGCGGATTGGCGGACTTCACATATTTTCGAAATATATATTTTTTTTTGTTATTATTTCGAAAATATGCAGGTTTCCTCACGATGTTTTCCTTCACCGCGGAGACCGTGATAAGTCAGCACTTAAAGTTAAAAACTTCATTGGTGCCGTCACCGGGGATCGAACTACCACTGAGCTACCACGGCTTATAAAACGGCTAAAGTGGTGGGCGCAACGCAATGGGTGGTTCTCGATCAGCGACACCTTAGTTTCCGCATGTACGTAGGCGGTTTCAACGGTGGTGATGGCTGCAGATGTTCCGGCCTGGCTGCGTAGCGGCGGAGGACTCGCCTGCGAAAAGGTTTCGTTCAGCGAGCAGCCAGTCGGTATCGCCAGTGGGCGCTTGTCTCGCCTACGGGATATTGTTATGACAACAGATAAAGCCGTCGCTATAAGAACGGCGTTTCGATGGACATTAAATATTGGACGTCGGTCCGGCCGCCCCGTCCTCATCGCGCGTCATACTCATAGAGGGGCGAATCCACGGAGATAATGATGGGGTCCATTGTCTACGCGGTAAGTGGACTTACTGCCGATTTGGCACGCGAAAGCTGCCGGTTCAAGAGGTGGAGTGACGTAAGATGCTCTTCTGCTTACCAACTTACAACTTACCAATTTACACACTTGTATAAGTAGCATTTGAAAAAGCCGTGAGATATTAAGGTTCTTTTCTTTGCGAAAATTAATTAAGATTTAAAATACTGTTAGTATTAATTACAGTGCAACCAAAATATAAGTAGAAAAATTAAATTGTATATATATCATTACTGTGCGGGATAACTTAGTTTAATAGTGTTTGTAAAAGTAATTTACTGTTTAATTCATGTAACGTAAGTCGAAATAATTGCTTAAAACTTTGCTTATTTTAGATTGCATATAAAAATGTCTGTATAATGAAATACTATAAGATTTTAATTGGTTTTATATGACTATTAACACATATGTTGTAAAATTAGTACGATAAAATAATTAGGGAAAAAGTGTATTTTCATAGTGTCATCGTAATTAATTAAATTTAATTATTTGTAATATAGTCATAAGACCTCGAATTCTTTAAGGTAACGCACCAAGAGGGTGCCAAAGAAAAAATGTAAGCTCTCTGATTAGATACCAATACGACAACCAATCAGAGAGCAGGAAGTAATAACCACAGGATCACATAAATATAGCGGCGTTTCGGGGCATCATCGCAGTCGACTAGCATCAAGATCTACCGGTGGAACAAGCAACTAGAAGAAGTCAGCAAGAAAGAAGCCCTGCAGCCTAGAAGAGGAGGAGCCTGCAGCCACTAGAAGAACGTTTTATTGCATAAGAAAAAACTTGTACAAACGTCTGAAAATAAAGTGTTCTTTCTGTCTTCACGACATTCTTGTTTCTTTACCAATCCAGCACACTGAAACGTGCATTGCGCACATTTAATGGTCCTTGGAGCCGGATCGGAAGTAAGGAAAAAAGAAGAACGAATACACAATGCCAGTGACATGATCCGTCGGAAAAGGCCGCAAGCCAACGGAGTTAAAACCGTCGTCCGAAGAAACATCGGGCACCAGCTCCGGCAGTGGGACAGCGACTACGGAAGAAACCACCACGACGGAAACCACAGCGACGGGAACGACGGCTACAGAACGCAGCGAAGCCACATCTCACGTCGAGGAGTCACCAGCCACCGAACAAACCACTGATAGAACAACGTCCACCGCCACGACTGCCATCGAAGCGCCCCCCGCTCAAGCCACATCCACGGCACCTATGGGGGCATCTACGGCCACTGCGGAAAAAAAAGCAGAACAGAACAAAGAAAACAGGTCGACGTCCGTTCACCAGGCAAGAGAAAAGGCGGTTCAATACGAGGCCAGTCGAAAGCACACAGGATTGCTAAGGTCAAGGAAGAATTATTGCGATTACAGGTTGAACTCGCCACAGCCAGAATAGCAGCCATGGAAACCGAAGACACGGACGACGAAAAAGACGACGACTCCGCCTGCTCGAAGATCGAAATAGACGAACGTGTCGACAACTGGGTAGAATCTCACGTACCCACAAGGGTGCAGGCGGCTCCTATCGACGAAAAGACCGCCACCGACGAGCATCACCCACCGCAGCCAACACGATCAACAGCGGCGGGAGCACAGTCCGACCTGACAGAACTGGCCGTAGCGATCACCAAAGCTGTCAATGCCGCACAGCGACCGAAGTGCATCGAGCTACCGCACTTCAACGGAGCACATCAAGAATGGCTACCCTTTCGCGCTGCATATTATGAAACCGAAGAAACATTCTCCACAGTCGAAAATCTATATCGGCTGCGAAGAAACTTAGTGGGAAAAGCGAAAGAAGCCGTCGAGGGGCTGCTCATCACCGGCGCACACCCCTCAACAGTGATGAAGACCTTAGAATCAAGATTCGGCAGACCAGAGTCAATCGCAATTATGGAAATAGAAGCTCTTCGTTCACTACCACGTCTCACCGAGTCACCGAGGGACATATGCATCTTCGCAACTAAAGTAAGCAACATCACGGCTACTTTAGAAACACTCAGCTGCATGCACTGCATGTACAACCCAGAAGTAGCGAAGACCATCGTCGACAAGTTTACGCCGACACTTCGATATCGCTTCTACGACTTCGCAGCCAACCAACCGAAGGAATCTCCCGACCTAATGAAAATTGAAAAGTTCCTGCGAAGAGAAGCTGACTTATGCGCACCATACGCATTACCCGAGCCGATAGTACATCATGCTAAAGAAGAAAATAAAGAAAGCGACGCTGCGTCAGAAGCCATCAACTCTGCTTGGACCATCGAGAGGAAACAATCCTACTTGAAAATTCTGCCGGTTCAAGTGAGGGGACCACGGGGAATAACGAACACTTATGCATTGATGGACGACGGGTCAACGGTCACTCTGATAGACGACGCCATAGCAAATTGCGTGGGAGCCAAGGGACCCACCGACCCACTGAAGATAGAAACGATCAACGAGCTGAAGACATCCGAGTCGTGCTCAAGAAGGGTCACCATCACGCTGAAAGGTCTCAACAACCGGGAAGAAGAAATACAAGCACGCACGGTCAAGAATTTACAAGTGTCGTCACAACGTGTCTCCAAGAAACTGGTGGAAGACTGTCAACACCTCGTAGACATCCGTAAGTACCTCATCTATAAAGACGTGAAACCACGGGTACTCATCGGGCAAGACAACTGGCACCTCCTCGGCACCAGCGAAGTAAGAAGAGGAAACATGGGACAACCAGTCGCATCGCTCGCACCGTTAGGATGGGTATCCACGGCAGCCAAACAAGAAGAGCCACCAGGAAGATTGATTTCGTGACACACATATCGGAAAAAAGAGACGATCTCGACGACCTGGTATGAAGATACTTCGAGATGGACGCTCTCTGTATACAACCGAAGAAGCCCAAGTCTGACCCGGAGGAACAAGCTCTGCGCATACTGAATAAAAACACGAAGCAGACAAGTACAGGTCACTTCGAAACCGGCCTACTATGGCGCAACGAGCATACAGTTCTTCCGGACAATTACGACAACACCCTCAAGAGACTCCTGGGTATGGAAACGAAGAAGAAGATAGACCGAAACCCTCAGCTGAAAGAAAAATACACAGAACAAATGGAGAGTCTTCTCAAGAAGGGATACGCCGAGCAAGCCCCACCAGAAAAGACGCCGTCGAAAACGTGGTACCTACCTCACTTCGGCGTCACACATCCATTGAAACCGGACAAGCTACGCGTCGTTCACGACGCCGCCGCAAAAACCAAGGGAGTAGCATTAAACGATATTTTGCTTATGGGGCCCGATCTACTGCAATCCCTGCCAGGAGTCGTCATGAAGTTTCGACAACATCGAATCGCAGTGACGGCTGACATAAAAGAAATGTTCATGCAAGTAAAATTGAAGCCAGAAGACAGAGACGCCCTACGATATTTATGGCGCGGTGACCGTCGCGACGACCAACCGCCTACGGAATATTGAATGACGTCATTAATCTTCGGCGCCTCCAGCTCACCGTCTACAGCAATTTATGTGAAAGATTTGAACGCAAGAAAGTTCGCCGACACTCATCCCGAAGCCGCTGCCGCCATCATAAAGAAACACTACGTGGACGAGTACCTGGACAGCTTCGAAAATATAGAAGACGCGATACGTATAACGCAAGATGTACGCGATATACACCAGAAGGCGAACTTCGAACTTAAGCAATGGAAGTCTAACTCGTCGGAGCTGATGGAAGCACTCGGCGAAAAGAACCCCAAGGAGGACTTACACCTCTACGCCAACGGGGAACAAATCGAACGAGTGCTCGGAGTAATATGGAAACTCACTCCCGACGAACTCACCTTCAATCTCAACATGGCGCGTGTTCCGGCACAATTAATGGAAGGTAAAACGCCTACGAAGAGAGAAGCCCTTCGTGTGGTAATGTCGCTCTTCGACCCCCTCGGCTTCGCCTCACCCGTCACCATTAAGGCGAAACAACTGCTGCAGGAAGTGTGGCGAAGAGGAACCGGCTGGGACGACGAGATCGACACCGACCTAGCTGCGCAATGGGAAGAATGGACGACACACCTAGAAAGTTTACGCGACGTCTCCATTCCAAGAAGATATGTGGGATATAGCGAGGCCAGCACAATAGAACTACACACATGTACCGACGCCAGCGAAGCTTCATATTGCGCGGTATTATATTGGCGAACGATCAACGCAAGTGGTACGGTGAACGTATCACTAATTACAGGGAAAGCCAAGGTAACACCACTAAAATTAACATCAATCCCTCGCCTGGAACTTCAAGCTGCCGTTATGGGAACGAGACTCGCTGAAAACGTGATTGAAGAACACGAAAGAAAACCAGATAGAAAATTCTTCTGGACGGACAGCAAAACAACGCTCTCCTGGATACGAACAGGTTCGCGTTCATACAAACCGTACGTCGCTCACCGTCTAGCTGCGATAGAGGAAAACTCGAAGGTCAACGAGTGGCGATGGATTCCCACAAAAATGAACGTAGCAGACGACGCCACACGCGACGTGCCAACCAGATTCAATAGAGACCACCGGTGGTATAAGGGACCCGACTTCCTCTACGAGCACGAGAGCCTATGGCCCACCGAACCGCCGGCGAGAAGCAACGTCACCACAGGGGAGGAGAAAATCAACTTCATCCGCACACAAAGGGTTAATCTACGAGAAAGCTTACCCGACGTCGCACGCTTTTCAAAATGGGATAGACTTCAATACGCAACAACGCGAGTTCTACAGTTTATAAAATTATGTACACCAGAGAAGCACAAGATCCACTACAAAAAGAATAGAAAAAACAAAGAAAAGGACCC